ATTCCGGCGTAATAATCAAGGAACTTTGCTGCCGTACCATGGGTGCAGCAGGCGCAATGATATTACGCAGCGCCTGAGAATAGTCCCCAGCTAGGTAACTTCCAATAAGCCTATTTTCAGGCGCTGAAAATCTTCTCACTGCGCGCGCGAGCTCGCGTCTTCTGGCTCTTAAATGTTTAAACTGGCAAAGCTTAAATGAGTTTAGTTTAAACACAGATATCAACGTGTGCTGATCAGGTCTCACCTGTGCACGCGTGCTATCAGCACCCGGGTGATGACGGAATAAATGACTGCTCATATTCCAGCATACGGCATTTGCATTGAACAAGAGTGAATGGTTTGTCCACGTTTTTCATCGCTGTTGTTGTAATGTACTGGGAAGCCAGAATGCGCGACCATCAACAGAAACTAATGCACACACCACACAAACATCAGGCAGGTTCAGAGTCCCGGTCTATTGTGCATCAGCACAGGCATTTATAAATCAGGACCCATTAGTACATGGCTGCAGTGATTGGCTATTTAGTATACAGACCAATGGGCAGCTAATTAAGAAAAAAAACAGGACTAAACAAATTAAATTAAAGCATATTAGAAAAGTAAACAAAAAGATTATGTACACTGACAAATAAACTTCAATACATTGACAAAAAGAGAGAATCTTTGATACAAGTGCTATCAGGCTAAAGTTAGCATTTTCCAAGATCTCCTACTGCACCTTTAAGACCCAATATCTAAAAGCGCATTAAGATATCATTGATACTACTTGATTAAAAGACATGTAGGGAAGTTTTTGAAATTTGTTTGATTTGACACGGAATGACCCAATTGTCTTTTAAACCCCAGGTTAAAATGCAAGTTGTAACCACAATAATTAAATAGATTGGATTTTTATAAGGAAATAAATCAATGAAGTTGTTTTCTTTTACAGTGCGACCACAACAGCCTAACATCTCGTCTCACCTTCTGAGCTCGGCAGTGCTGCAGACCACTATAACTTCTCTCTCCAACACTTGAGCTTATTCAAACACCTTTGTCTGACAGTGAGCTCAACTAAGCATAGGTTTCAAACTGATTCATATTCAGATGGGTCCTGTTTATAGAAGAGCAACTAAAGATCTCAGATCTGCATTATGAAACAAATTATGCGGGTTAAACTGGATGCATTCCTGCATGCCGCAGTATGGAGCCATTTTAGACTATTTTTTACATGATAAATAAGCAAAATCCTTGTTATGTCTGTTGTTATTCTTTGTATTGTTAATGTGTGTTATTAAAGCGTGATTATAGTCTTTACTGTGAAATACTTCAGATAAAACAGACATAAAAATGGTGGACTAAATCAACCCTTAAGCTTTTAGTATTATAGTTTAAGATTTCAACTTGTTTTGCCAGTTCTGTAGAGCTCAAAGGCTCCTTCTGAAGCTACCCAATACAATAAGAAAAACCCTTACGGCTTTAATCTTTCATTATGTAGGTCATTCCATGTTTGTGATTAGAAGGCTTTGTACCTTGAGAACAGTTCTCCTCGAATAACACATTTCATAAAGAAATCTTGACATTACATCTATCTTGGTATTTGTAATGCAGTGTCATTCTTTGGTAAATGTGAGTAATATTTCAGAATATATTAAACTATTAAAGTTTCACACCCTGACAGACATGCTTTTTATCTTGTGGGAATGAGAAGGAAATGTATTATAATCTTTTAAGGTTAAAATACCTCAGCCAACCACTAAATGTCACTGTGGAGCCGTGAAATACAGATGCCTTCACATCGTACGTATCACTGACAGTAACTACAGCACAAATGCTCACACATGAAATGCTTATTAAATAGTTAAATGTGCCTTATAAATCCATTTTCACAAAGTGTTCATATAGTGTGTTATGTCTGCGTTGTTAGTGCATATATGCATTAGTTGTACGTTTTTGGCAGTTGCTTCACATCTTGCTGTTGTTTTCACAGCTTTGAATGCTACATTTTTTACTCACTCTTCGTATTTATAATGCTTTTTCCTGGTCTTATTGTCAATTATTCATCAGTACACATTGTCCCAAAGACAAAAAGCATGCTCTGCATCTGAGGACAATTTCTTTTTGGCTGACATCTCCCAGCCCTCTTATTTGTCTCAAATAACATTTCATGATGCATGAGAGAAAGCTGCAACCTACCTTATTTTAAATTGAATATACTCTTACTCAGAAAGTGTCATGTTGTGGGACAATTAGTTGCATATGCTGCAGTGTCATTAGCAAAGGAAGAAAAAACTCTTTGCAAATCTGAATCAATTGAACAAATTGGTTTGTAAAATGATTCACTGTTGCGAAGCACTCAAAACACTGCATGCTGGCTGGACAAAATGGTGTAAATGCAGTGTGAACACAGCCCAAACGTGCATAAGACACCATTTGGCTTTTACAACCCTATTATAAATGTTTTTATGAAAGTGTAATCTACTAAATGTAATCTTAAATACCATTAAATATGTAGTGCCTGTTTGATTTGTGTTCTTTTACTGATTTGTAGTGCTTGTTATGTGGGGTATGACTTTTTAGGCCAATTACAAACAATTATCACTCTCCTTTGTCATTCTACATGCTTGTTTATTAAAATGAATAAAAACTGAGCCTATATTATAAAACTGACCAGAAATCAGTTCAAATCATATATTAATTAGACACTGATTCATGCCAGATCAACACCCTCTAGTGACGAACCATCAAATAAAAATGTTTAAAAAGCTTCAAAAACAATAGACTGCTGCAGGTATGACTTGTTTTTGATTGTTTGTATTGTATTTAAGCTTCATAACTGATAAAAAAAAAAAGTTAATTTGTAAAGATTATCATGAACAAAATGTAATAATCATGAACTTTTATTGGTCACAAAACTTAATTTCTGCAGTAATCTAAATGCCCACTGGGAAAAAAACGACTGGGTTTTTGTTACGCTATCAATGGAGCGTTTTATATGATATAATGAAGCCATGTTTGCTGAAATCATGTGACTTGGCTAGTTTGGTATGGCCAGTATGATATATATGACAATTATTCAAAACAAACAAAAAAAATTTGCATTAAAAGTTAAGATTTAAAAAATGTGTCCAAACCCCCATTTGATTATGTTGTGCTCCATCTACCTGTTTTTGATTGAATGCAAGAACACAACCCCTTAGTGATTTTATGCCATGCCCCTTACAGGGGATGGATATATGTATAAAGCGTTAGAGGTTAGACAAAGTTAGAGTACAGTGTTTATGCTTGTTTATAGGCCTATATGTTTCTATGATCCTAAAATCTTACTCATTGCTTTTCTGTTGTTGATCTAACGTGATACATTCAGGGTTTGAAATGAACATTACCGGTCTTTCAGAACTTGTGCTCAACCAGATTTTCAAAATCACGGCTTAGATTTAAATATTTTTTTATTATTAAGTCAGATTCTGAATCATTGAATGGCTTTCAGTTTTACAATAAATGATTTGAAAATAAAATGGATATAAAAAAATTCTCTGTAACTTCTCTTATAAAACGACATTTATTTTATTGTAATTTTCAAATATGGCTTATTCCAAAATGAATGTATAATGGCAAACTCATTGAACAACAACTTACTGAACTCCGTGTATTGAAGCCTCTCCTTCGCTTCAAAAAACCCATCTGTTTAAGAAGTGTCCTTGTCTCCTAGTGCTCCAGTCTCACACCGCAGATATCAAACAATGGATGCATCATTCTATACTCCTCTTCAAAGGCAATTGCCCATTTTGAACAGCTTTCGGAGTTGTATTGGGGTGATGCTGATGCAGGGTGGTCCATTGTTACATAGAAAAACATTTTAAAGATTGAAATTGAGATTTATAGATCATCCAAATGTTGAATAAATAAGCTTTCCATTGATGTATGATTTGTTAAAGCTGCAGTCCGTAACTTTTTTTGTGTTCAAAATGTACAAAATTTATATAATAAGCGAGTACACCGTGAATCCATTTTCCAAACCGTGTTTTTGGCTTGTCCTGAATACGGTACACCTATAATAAGTGTTTACATTCGGACTATTTAGACTGGTTCGGGTAGGTACCGCTGCGGA